CCCAGAGCTGCCTCAAAGCTAGACGTTTCTGCAGGGACTGAGAGCAGAACTGAGTCAGACAAGGCCCACACAGGGCCGCTCAGGTGGCCCAGAGGCAGAGCTGTGCTACCATCCAAAGGTGGGGAGTGTATATCTACCAGTAGCTCTGCAGAGAAGGGATAGGGGGCCCCTCTGTGATTTAGAGCCTCTGAAAACCCAAGGGGGGAGGGTCAGCTCTGCGTCAGTTCTGACTGGAGGGTGAGCACAACTTAAAGGCCTCACAGAGTCCAAGTAATCCTCTCATATTTGTTTGCCAAGGGGGAAAATAAATCTCACCAACACCCCTAAACAAAACCAAATCTTAACAGTCTCTGAAGAAGGCTTACATTTTCAAGAATTCTGTGTGGCACCTAATAGTAAATGTTGTTGTTAAGTGCTGTCTAGTTGTAGACAACTCATAGCGACCCTATGAACAAAAGACCTGAGCACTGTTCATAGAGTTTCCCAAGGCAAGCCATTGTGGAAGTGGATGCCACTCTTGCTTCCAAGCTTGTTTTAATCAGGAAGCTCCACCAAACACTGCCCACCATGGGGAACATCAGTGACACAGTGTTTAGCATCACAGCAACCACAAGTTAGCTCTGTACAGCAATGCACAGACCACAGACATTCTTAGCAGAATGTTTGACGACAATTTAAACCAGGCCAGAAAAGACCAAAACCAAGGGAGAAACACCACCAAGAATTTGAAGATCAGCATTTCCCCCACATAGAGGAGATTATGTACAAAACAGAGTAAAAGTTGGATAATTTCAGTAGAGTCAGAATCTATAAAAAGGATGTGTGTGCCCTCTGGGATTGACCAGTACTAAAACATTCTGGAAGTGGAAACTCAGTATCAGTCTGTACACAGACAATGTTTTTTTTATGTGTGACTAGCTTCCCAGAAGGAAAGCCAGAGGAAATGAAACAGAAGTATCTGAAGATGCAGCTGCTGAGAATTTCCCAAAACAGACAAAGGAAGAAGGCCATATGTCCAAGAAGCTTCTTCAACAAAATCAGCATGAAGCCAACAAACCAGTGAGAACCCCAGGAGTAACAATCCCAGCATCCAAGTGCCTGACAGCCACAGTGAAAGACAACATCTAAAAAGCCACCAAAGGTAAAGGAGAAGAGTTCAGTGACTGGACTGAGCTGCAGCTGCTGTGTGCCATCGAGGCACCTGTGACTCTAGCGACCATAAGCTCAACAGCTCTGAACCCTGCCCTATCCTATGACAGTCTCACTGCCTCTGACACACCTGGCCTCGTTACCCCAGTCACTGTGTCAATCCAGCGTCTTCCTCTCCTGCACTGTCCCTCTACCCTTCCAAGCATGATGTCTTTCTCCAAGGACTGGTCCCTCCTAGCAACATCCCAAAGTATTGTCAGATGAAGCTTCAAAATCCTTGCCTTCAAGGAGCAACTTAGTTTCACCCTCTCTAGGACAGACTTGTTTGTTCTCTTGACAGTCCATGCTATGTTCAGAACTCTCCTCCAGCACTAACTCAAAGGCACTGATAATCCTTATATTGTCCCTAGTCATGTCCAGCTCTCTGAAGCATAACAAAAAACTGTGAAGACCATGGCCCGGATCAGGTGCACCTTAGTCTTTAGACTGCCACCTTTGCTCTTTAGCACTCTGGAGAGGTCCCTGACAGCAGAGTTTCCTAATACAGTTCATTTTTTGATTTTCTGACTGTTGGTACCAAGAGTACTGATTGTTGAACCAAGCCAGCTGAAATTATGAACAATCTCAATCTCTTCTCCATCTGTCATGGTACTGCCAATTGGCCCAGAGGTGAAAATCTTTGTTTCCTTGATGTTGAGATGAAATCTGTATTGAAGACTGCAGTCTTTCACCTTCGGCAACAAATGCCTCAGGCCCTCCTCAGTTTTGGGGAGCAAGATTGTGTCATTTGCATAATGCAGATTGCTGGTGAGTCTTCCTCCAATCTTGATGATGCCACATTCCTCCACATTAAGTCCAGCCTTCCGAATGATTTGTTCCACCTATGGATAGAAAAAAGTATGGCAACAGGACTTATCCCTGACACACTCCTTTACTGATTTTGAACCAAGTAGTGTTTCCTTGCTCTGTTCTGAGGACTGTTACCTGGTCCACCTATAGGTTTTGCATGGACACAATCAAGTGTTCTGGGATTCCTATTCTTCTCAAGGTTAGCCTCAGTTTCATCCACAGAGTCAAATGCTTTTGCATGGTCAGTGAAACATAGACATTTTTCTGGTACCCTCTGGTTTCAGCCAAGATCCACCTGGCATTGGCTGTGAAGCCCTAGTGCACAGCCTCTTCTACCTCTGACCTACTGTCCCACCAAGACCCTCTGAGGTGATTTGAGATTCAATGAATAAGGTTCTGGTCATAGTGCCAGACTGTACAGATAGGCAGAATAGACAGACTGGACAGCACAGAGCATCCAATGCCTAGGGCAAACAGGTCAGGGCAGGCTGGTCTCTTCAGTATTTGAAAAGGGTGTTAACTGAATTGAGTATCTACATGCAAAAGACACTTAATTTTGACCCCTACCTCACGCCAAATGTTCACAAAATTTAAGATGGATCCTAAAACTAAATGATAAGTTTTTCTAATAAGACATAAGATAATAGCTATGTGATCCTGGTAGTAGGTAAGTTTCTTAGATACGTCTTAAAAGAACATCGTTGTAAACACAAACTTTATCTTGATGCAACAATTTTATAAGAAAAAAAAAACCACCATTGTTCTTGTGTACCATCGTGTCAGAACTGACCCATACTTAACCCTCCAGTGGGTTTTCAGAGACAGTTTAATAACATGTGAGGATACTGTCCGTCCTTTTCCAGTTAAGCAGCTGGTGGATTTGAACCATGTGCCTTTGAGATTACAGTTCAGTTTCTTACCACTAGGCCACCAGAGCTCCCTCAAAATCACACTAGAAATAAAAATGTGGTAAAGTGTATTTCATTAACTTTATTAACCTCTAACTAGAAGGCACCACCGAGAGAGTAAAAAGACTCAGTAGATTACAGAAAATATTTGGAATAAACTTACCTGATGGAAGACTCATATTCAGATATATAATCTACTGCAGATTAGTAGGAGCTCTGATGGTAAGGAGCTGTGCCCAAAAGCAAGTTCAAATCCACCAGCTGCTCCATGGAAGAAAGATGAGCAATTACCTCCACGTGATCTGCCTCTGAAAATCCACTGGCGGGTCAGCTGGAGTGCGGTTCCAACTCGATACATAACAACTACCACCACCAATTAGAAAAAGATGGCTTAGGAAGCAACAGACCTGAAGAGCTGCTTCCAGAAGAGGGTCCACAACTTACCAGAGAAGTGTTCAGTATTCTAGGTCAGGACACCGTCTGTCTGTCTGTCATTCCGTGGTGGTCTGTGTGCTGTCTGTGTACAGGAAGATAAAGCACGCAAATTTCAAATGCCAGCTGGTTCCCCCACGATAGGCAGGGTTAGGGGAGCTTCCAGACTCAGCCCAGGTAGGAAGAAGGAATTACCTATGTAAGGCCGTGGACTTAAGGGCAACTTTATTAGGGTAGCCCCCTAATAAAGAGAGAGACCAGGGAAGTCACACCCAAGGTGTATTTGGGCAGGTTTTTATAACAGGGTCTTAGGAGAGGGGGAAGGGTGAAGACATTCCACTGTAGGTAGTTATTGGTCACGCCAGGTGGGAGATGATGTTCATTCTTCTTGCTGACGTGCTGCGACTCCCAGTTTTCTGTGTCCCATCACACTTCAGTTGACTGTCACAGGACTGAAGAACGCGACACGTCACCACAAGGCACCAAAGGATGAGACAAATCCATCCTCTCCCCACCCCCACCTTGGTTTTGGTCCAACAGCCCACTTCTGACAGCTAGCCAGGGTCATGCAACCCTGTGGGTCGTGCGGAAGACCAGTCAGTACAGAGCTGGAATGAGCGCTCCGCGCTGCCTGACACCACACAGCAACTGCCGTAGTGAGTTCCTGGTCACCACCCTCTCTGTTTCACTGACCAAGCATGATGCCTTTCTCCAAGGACTGGCCACTCCTTATAACATGGCCAAAGTGCTTGAGATGGAGTTTCACATCCTGGCTTCTAAGGAGCCTGGCTGCACTTCTGCCAAGGCAGGATGGAATAATCCTTCTAAAAGGTCATGCTCTAGTCAATGTTCTTTGCTAATGCTGCAATTCATAGACATCAGTAAGTTCTTTTTTGGTCTTCCTTATTAATTTTCCAGCTTCTAAGGTACAGATTTTGTCAATCACAAATAAATTATAGGATGTACTATTTCTAATAAGAAACTGTCATATTAATAATAACCAGTAAAAATTTCCTTCAGTGGTCACAGCAAGTAAAGAAGTCCTGATGGCGTGGTGGCTGCTACCTAACAGGTCAGCAGTTCAAATCCTCCAGCCACTCCACAGGAGACAGGTGTGCGGTCTACAGTCTTGGGAATCTGGGGTAACGGCGGAGTCACCTCGGGGTGAAGGGGTTTTGTCACCATCACAGTGATACTAAGTGCAATGGGCCGGATGGTGGGGACGCGAGGGCTTGACACCAGCGACTCATGGACATGTATTCCTGCATCCTCCATCTTGTTTCCTGTGTCTGCACGGAGGAGTGACTGTGGATTTCACGTGTCAGTCTGATTTACAGATACAGAAGTCTGGGGTCCATGGTAATAATTCAGAATTTTAACTTTCACATTTGTAGATGCAGAAAGAAAACTGACCACATGCTCTGAGAAATAAGCCATCCACGCTCTTGCCCAGTGGGAGAGATGGGAGGGAGATGTTTTCAGAATTTGTGGGGGACTCGCTGACTAGGAAGCCATCTTTACCTCAGCTGTGCGCCTTGCACACCGCGTGTCTCTCCGCACCCCCCGGTCTGGCTTGGAGGGCACAGCGGCTCACTCAGAAATTTGGAGATGGTGGCCCCTCCAGGGTGGGCCATGGTGATGGACCTGCGGTTTGTCTTTCAGTGAATGAGTTCACAGTGATCAGGAAGAAGTTCAAGTGTCCATACTGCAGCTTCTCGGCCATGCACCAGTGCATCCTCAAGAGGCACATGCGCTCACACACAGGCGAGAGGCCCTACCCCTGCGAGATCTGCGGCAAGAAGTTCACACGGCGCGAGCACATGAAGCGGCACACGCTGGTGAGTGGGGGAGGGCTTGGTGTGCAAATGCTCGTGTGTGAGTGTGCACATGTGGGATGTGAGCACACGCTCACATGTTTATGCATGTGTGTTTGCACAAGTGAGGTAGGCGCATGTCTGTGTACCAGTAAAGGCATGTGTGCACATGTGTGTCAGGTGTCTTTTCACACATGTTAATGTGTGTACGTGTACAAATGTGTGCATGTACGTGTCTGTGTCTGTATTTGCATTTGTGTGCCTTCACATGTGTGAGCATACATGTGTGTATGCTGTGCACACGTGTGTTCCTTTGTGTACACCTGTGTACTCACATGCATGTGTATTCCGGTGTGCCTGCAAGGCTACATGTTTGCACGTGTGTGTGTGTACATATATATCTGCCTTTGTGAGCTGTGCCTTTGTATGTGCGTTTATGTGTGTGAGCATGTGTGCGGACAGTGTGTGTATATGGTCACGAGCCCTGGGGAAGCCAGAAGGCAGCCCACGTTGCTTCCACCTGGCTGTTGGCTGGTCCCTGCAAAATTGTCTTTCTCCTGGTCCAGTAAGTGGAGCCCTGGTTGTGCTGTGGTGGAAGCACACAGCTGTTAGCTGGAAAGTGGGCGGTTCTGACCCAGCAGCTCCCGTGTGGGGGCCACAGGCAGCTCTGCAGGTCCTGTGAGGCGTGGTTCGGGTTTAGTGGAGGGATACCTTTGTTTTGCAGAGTGCCTTATAAAAGCTTTGTTGTTTGCCATGGAGTCAGTGGGACTCGTGTGGCAGCTGCAGTTGCTAATGGGGCAGCTCCAGCCCGTCCTTTCTGAGCTGCCGTGTGGGTTTGGACCACTGACCTTCGATTGACAGCACTTCACCGTTATGCTAAGGTAGAGGAAGTGTGCCACATCAGTATCGCTCCCATCTGGGGAGAACCTGATCTTGTGCTTTTACCTGAAGGAGTGTGGACAGCAGCATGGTCAGATGGGACAAGGTGACCTCTTCTCTAGCCAAGCCACGTTTATGTTCCAGTGACTTTTAAAAATTAAGACTGAATGCTAATTGAATCCATAATAAATCTAAGGAATTTATTAATAAATACACACTAGAAATGTTTTACGTGTGACCTCTTGATACCAGGTACACATGTGCTGTGCAGTTACCAGTATCCACACCCACTCCTGTCCCCCTGCCCTGTGACAGCACTGTGGCCTTAGCTGACCTGTCTCCAGCAGCTGCTTGTGTCACTGTCTTTTATGGGGGGTGTCATGTAGCCTTTGCTGTCTGGTTTCTAGCACTCAGCTCAGTGCTCTTGAGAGTCACTGGGAGTAGCAAGTGTCAGAATTTCCTTTCTCTTTTTGTGTGTCATGTGCATAGACCGCAGCACCATCCCCTGTGGGCCTGTGGGCCTGCACCCTGGAGGCCAGCTTTCTCCAGGCCCTGGCTCACCTGTCACAGGCTTCTAGCCTGGGCTTATCCTAGACCAATGATCAGATACCCCTGGGATCTTTCCTCAGGTGGAGCTGTGCGCTTCATCACTAGCAACCCCTCATGGGCAGCATCTTCCTGGCAGTCTCTGGAGCTGTCCTGCTTTGTCAGGCAGGACAGAGGCCAAGGAAGGACGGTTCACTGCAGTGTTGGCCACGGCCCATGCTCTGGAGACCATTCACCATCGAGGGTTGGTTCTGTGGTTGCCATGGCACCAATACCCTTCCTGTGTGTTCCCTTAGACACATGCCCTGGTTACAGTTGTGAGATACGCAGGCACTCAGGCCTTTCCTGAGGCCTCTGCATCCACATGCAGTCCACTCCCCAAAATGCCACTCCACACACGTTGGGGGCTGAGGGACCACAGGATTCCGAGGTCTACTGTAAACCTGGCAGTGCTGGTCAGTCGGCAGGGTCGCCCTGGCAGGGCACTGTCGAGTTGTGCTGAGCTCTGCGTTCCTTTCCTCTTTTGAGGGGACACAGTGCCATCTCCAGGCCGTGACTCTCCCCATGTGGATAGTAGGAAATCCTAGTCATGTTTAGATCAGTTCTGATCACAGTACATGTGATGCTTGACATTGTAAATTCCTTAAATGTAACATTTTAGGTTCTATTAATGCATGCCACAAAAGCAGTGATTTATAGCTACTTTGTAAGTGGATGATAGCCCAGCTCCCACTGGTGAGAAGTTAGTCAATGAACATTATTTTAGTTTTATAGGTATATTAATATACATAAGCTAAGATTATGAAAATATTCTCGTTGTTATTACAGAGACTTTTTGATAAAAACAATAAATTCCTGGGTGCTATGGTGAAGCCCCTAGTGAGTTGCATTGTTAACTTAAAAGTAATAAATTCCTGCCAAACACTGCACAAGCATCTCACAGACAGTCCATGTTACCCTGGCAGGGGGCCCCCTGCTGTCCACAGCCCCAGTGACGGCAACCTCTGTGGGATCCAGTTGGGCAGTTAACCTTCAAAGTGCCGTTTTCAGGGCTCCGATCTGTGAATGCATTAATCCTGCTTCCCGGGACGGGGCGCAGGTGGGCAGACCATCCAGTGGGATCGCAGGAGCCCTGGGCCCCTTTCTGACCCACCTTCTGCCCCGATAGGGACTCCACCCCTATCAGAGCTCGCCCTCTGAGAATACCAAACCCACTCCCACCCGGTGGTCAGCTTGGACTGCTGGTCGCACGCCCCTCGGTTCCCACAACTCCCTCGGAGCACTGGTGGGCGGTTAGTGGCCCAGTGTAGTGAGCACTGTGACACCAGGCCTTCTCTCTGCCGCAAAAGGACTTCCATTCTCAAGGGACACCTCCCCCCCACCTCTACTGACCACCCCCTGCTGACATCCCCCCACTGACGGCCCTCCAGCTCCCTTTGCTGAGTCCCTCACCGCCCCCTGCTGACCACACTCCTGTCTCTGTAGGTGCACAGCAAAGACAAGAAGTACGTGTGCAAGGTGTGCAGCCGTGTGTTCGTGTCAGCGGCCAGCGTGGGCATTAAACATGGCTCCCGGCGCCACGGCATCTGTGCAGACTGTGTGGGCCGAGGGGGAGCTGGGCCCCTGGACCAAGGTGGTGGCGGTGAGGGGTCCCCGGAAGCACTGTTCTCAGGCGAAGGGCCGTACCTGGAAGACCCTGACGACCCTCGTGGGGAGGGTGAGGAGGAACTGGATGAGGATGGGGGCCTGGCCCCTGAGGACACGCTGCTTGGGGTCGACAAAGATGAAGACTCACCACCAGGACCCCGCAGCCCGTCGGGGGAGGCCGATGAGGACTTGTCCTGGGTCCCGTAGTCTGGATGGCGAGTGAGGGGTCTCCCCGTGAAGCCCGGGGGACCCCCAGCCTAGAGCAATGCCAGGGGCTCTTTGCTACCCTCTTGTAGCCCACTTGCCTGCCCTCCCAGACACAGGTAGATGGGAACCAGCCCCTCCAGATGGGAAAGAGGCAGCCCAGGACTGGGAGAGAAAGGACGAGGGTGTTCTCTCCAGCCCGGTGCTCCCCGGCTGTCTGTCTTGTCTGTCAGGGCCTTTCCACTTTAGAGCTTTCTGAGTGGTCAGAGGCAGGAACAGGTCACTGGGGGCCTGTGTCCACCTGAGCTGGGGACCAGGTCGGACTAGAGGGAGAGTTTTGCACAGTGGACTACAGTGTCCCTCCTGCCACTACTGTGGCCATCTTTCCCAACAGCCTGGCATTCGGCAGGTTGACCTCCAGGAGGGTGCTGCTTGAGGAGCTGAGACACCCCCCACCTCTGGCTCTGGTGCTCAGGAGAAGCCCGCAGGCCCTGGGGGTGGGGCTCCTCGGTGCTAGCTATCAATGCCCCTCTGGGCCCAGTGTGGCCTCTCAGAGGCCAGCTTCCTCTCCTAGTTGCTGGCCTTGTCCCCAGGGCTGTGGCTTCCTGCCCGGCTGTTCATACGGTCAGCGGTGCCTGCTTTGCCGCCAGGACCCAGGGCCCTATCCACCTGTTGCCACTATCCTAAAGTGGCCTGCTGCTCACCCCCCTGGGCCAGTCCCATCCCTGCGTTGGGTGCAGTTCCTTTGCTGACACCTAGCCTGGCTCCTTCAGCTAGCTGTCCTTTGGATATTTCTTCCACGAGCTCATTCCTAGAAGAGGCTCTCCTTGCCCTTGCTGTTTTTAGTTTTTTGTCTTCTGAGAGAAAAGCACAGGTGTGTCCCCATGCACTGTGGCCCCCGTCAGGAGCACTGGGGTGGGTGCACCCGGGGTGGGCTGCCAGCCAGCCACTCACAGGCCTCACAGCATCTCACCTGCATGCCTTGGACCACACCTCACCTTCTCCCTGATGATCCTCCCCACTCGTTGTGGTCTTTGGGGAGCACTGGGGGCTGACATCCTTCTCCAGAGGCTTCGCATCTGTACCTGTAGAACTCCACCACGCCCCAGCAGGAGGGGCTACAACTTTCTTTTTCCTCTAAAATCAGCAGTGTACCCACAACCAAACAGGGTGCTCTTTGTGGAGTCTGACTTACCTGCAATCCCCTCTTCCAACAAACAGGGACTGGACTCCCCCTCATCTGCTCTCTTGGGACACATCTGGGGACCCGGGGTCACCCTACTCACAGCAGAGCTCTGGGTGTCTTCGTATTTGCCCTCAGCTCATTTCTAACCTCTTTTCTAGACAGACTCGTTTTCTTACAAAAATGCATTTGACAACTGATTCTTTGTACAAGTGTTTCCTGGCGGTGCGGGGATCCAGATCCCTTGGCCCTGACCAGTCCACATCCCATGAAGGGCAGCTTGCCCCCCACTCAGGACGTCGTGCTCTCTGTCTGCTGCCCACTCTGGGCCACCTCCCTGCCTTTTTGGGGGTTCCCTTTTGGTGCCACAGGAATCTTCTCTCTTAAAACCAAGACTACCGCAAACAGAGGGTCCCAAGCCCTCTCCCACCAAGTCCCCTTAAGTACTCTCTTCAGCAGCAGGTCCCTTGTCCTTTTTTGAGAAGGAGCACTGGACTTCCAACACCAAGACAGATGTCTCTCTGGAGGCATTGAGGGAAAAGACACGAATTGAAGGGGTGTTTTTTTGTGTGTGTGTGGTGGTGTTTTTTTTTTTTTTGTGAGAATTTTTTTAAAATCAATGTTTAATAAATATTTTTTTATGAAGAGGAAAACGTGTAGATTACATTTCACATTTTGTATTTTTCAGTTTATGTCTGTTTATATGTTGGTGTTGGCAACACCAGAGTGGCAGCTGGAGTGGACTGGGGTTGTAAGCCCCGAGGGGCCTGGTGGACTTTGAAGTGACTCACTCTGGGCTGGGGGACAGCACACTCCATAATAGGGACCTCTGTTCAAGGCACAGTGACATGCTTCCGACTTTGCACATCTTCCTTTTATAAAAAGACTGAGAAATGAAAAAACTGGATTTTTTTTGCAATATCATGAAAACCTGATTTTAGCCACTCTGTGACATGTGCAACTCACAGGAAAGCCACACCTGGTGACTTTGAGCCGCAGTTGTCTTTTGTGCCCTTTTGTTTAAACTTGTAGTTAACAGTGCTGTTTGTGCTTAAATATTTTTCAACCTGCTTCCAACTTGTCAACAGACATAAAACAAAAAAGAATAGGGCGGCGCTTGAAGACTGTTGTTCTTGACTTTATATGCATCGTTATAAACCCGTTTGTACTAGAGGCGTGTTTAATATTGGGAGAGATCTCTGTAAGTGGGAACACGCATGTCCTGCCCATCTGAATGGCAGGCCAGTGTGTGTCACTTGCTTCCAGCGAGGGCTCTGGCTCCTTGTTTGCTGGGCACACCTGGCCTACCTGTGGGTTTCCTTTTGCAATGAGACTAGCATACACATTCTTGCAAAATTGGCTCGTTTCAATAAATTGAGAGACTGCTGCTCAAAGCGATGCTCGTATGTGTGTGTCACAGCCTAAGGTCTCTGAGGTCAAGTTGAATGCGGGGACCAAAGGAGATGACCTTCCCAACCAGCTTGTGCCCCTACCACCAGTAGACAGATTCTGGAAAAACCTCAAATCTTTTTCTCCTTGCCTGGGTGTGACCAGTGGAGACGCCTAAGCTTGGGGAAGCCGGGGGGGGGGGGCCTCCCCAGACACCAGCAAAGTGCTCTGAGGGCTGGCCTGGTGAGGCCAAGGCCCCATCATCCTGACAGGTCCCCACTAAGCAGACACCATGATGACCATGGCAGAGGGCAACAGGGCTTGGCTTCAGAGGCACTCAACAAGCCTTGGCATCTTCCCACAGCTCTTCCACAGCACCTGTGTCCCCAACCTGGGGCGGGGCCCACAGGGTCCCCAAACAGGAAGTGAGCTGCCTTCAGGGGCATCGGAGGTAATGGGGTGGATGGGGAGTCGATGGCCAAGTTCCAGTCTCTGCTGTGACTGCTGCTGCTGTAGCTGCCTGGCTGGCCCAGAGCCTCCTTCCAGGGCTCCAAGCCAGGCTCTGCAGGGATAGGTGGTCAGAGCTCACTGTCAGTTCCTACCCACCTCTAGCCCCCCTCTGGCCCCTAGAGCTTGGTGGGCAACTCTGCAGGTAGGGTTCAGTGGCAAGCCCATTGGAGAAGCCCTCGGCCAGCCAGCCAGGTGTAAGGGAGCATTCCAGTCACCTGGCTTTGGGGCCCTGTGTGGGCTCTGGGCGTTCTGATGTCTCTGGGTTCAGGTGCGTTAGGAAGACAGTGGTCCAGATGCAGGGCTCTCCTTCCTGATCTGGGGGTCTAGAGGTCTGCCCCAGCTGCATCCCTGTGCTCAGCCTGTCTCACCTGAGCTGAAGCATGTGGCTGGGGCCCCCAGTGGTCAGGATTATCATGGCTGCTGCAGCCATGACTTCATCGAGCTGCATTTGTTCTGGAGGGGCTCTGGAGAAGGGGGCAGGGCGCTGTTGGGGACGCAGCAGGTTCTCCAGGCCTCTCCCTGGCCAAAAGCATATGTACAGGCCTGGGCATGTGTGTGTGATCGCTGTGGGCAAATGGGCTGGAGACCCAGCTCCAGCCCTGCTCTGGTTACAGAGCCACAAACCACTCCTAGCAAGCAAGAGCATGACAGGGCTGGGGTCTCCTGAACCTTGGTCACTTACCCAGCTGACTCCTCAGGCCTTGGTGCTGGATAGAGGTTAAGGCCTGGGTGGGCAGAGGCTAGGCTCCCAACACAAATTAACCAAGATTGTGCCACAGCCACACAGTGCCAGGTCAGGAGCAAGGGGCAGCCAGCAGAAGCTGGTTCAGGCTAGGAAGCCTGACTCCAAACAATGGAGGTGTTACTGAACACAAGGGGTTCTTTCCGTAGTCAGTTGCCAATAAGACAAAGGACTGCAATATCCATAAATGCACTTTATTACACAGATCTGGGAGACAGCGAGTCACCTCTAAGGCTGCCTCCCCACCTGGGAGTGGTCATAGCCTTATATACTTCCGGTGAAACTCCAGCTCATTTAACAATGCACTTTTGTTAGTAAAAAAAAGGTGATTTCTACATCTGAAAAGGACAGTTCCTATCTGTGTATCAGTAATTCAGGAAGGCCCCAGTTCTCCTGGTAAACAGGCAGATTAAGATACAGTTTACATATGACTGGAGAACCAGCTTCACCAGCATCTGGGATAGATGCATTTCCTCCTCTGGTAAACAAACAGATCAAACTACTCTACATGACTAAAGAGAGGAAACAATTCAGAGGCTAAGCAACTAGCTTGGCAGGCTAGAGAAAAATAACTATAGTTTTATAACTGATACCTGTATAGAGAATTCTGAACTTATTAATACCATCCTATCAGAGGGACCCCAAACCTAGCTCACCATGGCCTCCCTGGCTGCAGTCAGCCCACCGAGTGCAAAAGGATCCACGGCTGGGAGACTAAGGTCAGTAGCCTGTGATTCCTCAGCTCTTGTTTAGACTCTGCATGGTACCTTCTACACAGCAAGATGGACAACAGTCCACTCATCAGTGTCCCAGACATTGAGGCCAAAAGACCACTCAACCCTCCCCAGCACGGGAGAGGGGCTCAGAAGTCCAGTCTAGAATCCTGACCTGTGCTCCACCAAGGCCACCAAGGCCATTTGGGAAGACCTGTGCCCGATCCACTGCCCTGCATGCCTGAGAGCACGTGTGTGCATGCCCTGTGGGGCCCACTGCCACTCACACCTCTGCAGGACAATCAGTATGGTTGAAGGTGGCCCCAGGCCAACTCTCACCCAGTTTCCCGGGTCCCAGAAGTCGGTACCGTGGCAACACCAACTCCAAGCCTGAGAAACCCACACTGCCGGCGGGTCCCTGCGGATGAAGCTGGCTCAGGGCAAGGGTCCAGCTGGGCCTGCCACCCTACCACTCAGCCGGTCAGGGGCCGGGCCCAAGAGCTGACTACCGATTGTAGTGTGGCCCCACTTCCGGCCCTGCACAGGGATTGTGGGGACAGCGCTCCTCCATCACCTGCCCAGCCACCTAGCACCGACACAGGACATGCTGCCGACTGGGTCCCCAGCACCCTACCCACTTGGGCCCGATCTTTGCAGCAAGTTGGTCGGTCGGGCCCCCTGTCCTACACAGCTGACAGTACCACCCCCGCCGACAGCAACCCCATGTGCGCTGGCGGGTGCAGGACCTGTGGGTGCAGTGTCCTGCGCCTCGTCCTTCGTGGCTGACAGCGGCCCCGTGTGCGCTGGCGGACTCAGGACCTGCGGCGGCAAAGCGGGACTGTCCCAGGAGCAGCAATCGGGCCTGGAGCCTTTGGCTGCAGCCTTCATGCCTGACCCACCACGTGGCAAGCCCAAGAGGCCAAATGGACCTACCAGCGGTACGGGACATGGGGCAACGGCAGCCCAGGCTCGGTGCCAGGGGATGTGTGGCCTACATGGTGGCCCTGGGGCTGGGCAGTGAGCCTGACGCTCAGGGATGGCCGGCCACCAACCCCCTCCTGGATCCGCAGCCGCCCGCCTCCCAGGCGCCTATTGGAGTGCGCGCTGCAGCATGGGGGGCCCGCCTCCCCCGGCCCCATGGACTCTAGTCGCCTTGTCGGGCTTCCCAGGAGTCGGACATCCCTAAATGTGACCACCTGTCTTCTACCTGGCCCCCTCTTAAGCATCACCAGGCAGGTACGGAGTGCGCCTGGGGGCTTCAGGGCCCAAGTGCAGCCCCCAGGGTCGACTGGGTTTTCTCCCTCCTCTGCCTTCCAGCCCGGCTCGCCTGGCCATAAGCTGGACAGTTCACTGTCCCCTCCTAGCCCCACAGCTGCCAAGAGCAGGCCGCCATCCTTGAAGGCACTGCGCGGAACCTCCCTGCCTCCAGGACCCTCCACTCTGTGTTTGTCTCTGAGCCACCGAATTTATTCAGACACAGGCCGGACGGTGAGCCCTGGGGCAGGCGAGCGGCTGGTATCCAGCATGTGTCCACTCTTGCTAACAGCCAGCTGGGGGGCTGCAGGAGGTGCGGCCCAGCTCCTGGATGCTCTCGTAAACGTTCTCCAGGGCCAGCAGGTCAACATCCTGGCCCCTTGGAAGGGGGCTTGGCAAGGATCTCAGGCCCTCTGGGCCAAGAGACTCGTTCTTCAGCCCTTTGCCCGTCCTTTTAGGCTTGTTGACCCTGGAGTACAAGATGTCCACCTGGGAGAGGAAGGAGGTCACCAGAGAGCTGAGCACCACCTGCCCATCAAAGGTGTCCAGTCCCGCCCACTTACCTGTGCAGACGGCAGCACTTCAGTATTCTCTGTTCCCTTGAGCTTCCGCACACAGGCATACTCAGCTGCCACTGGTCCTGTCCTTGACCCAGGCCTAGCCCCGCCACTGCTCAGCCTGGCCCCTGCCCTTACAGCAGGACTGGCCGCCAGGCTGGCTCTGGGAAGTGAGGCCAGCCCCACATTGGAATAGGTTACCTCGGGGCAAGTGGGGGTGGAGGGGAGAACCAGCAAAGGCTTCGGTAGATCTTGATGTAGAGAGAGAGGTGCTTTAGGCAGTTTGGGAGTGCCCTTCTGTCCCTCCAGCCAGTGCGCCTGCAGGAGGTCCATGCTAGCAGGCCGGGGCGCTGGATACAGGGATAAGGGCAAAGTAACTTGGGGCAGCTGCATGTCTCCAAGTAATTTGGGGACCAACATGATCAGGGTGCAAGGAGCTCCCACTTCACTGTACCAGTCCCCCAGGTCTACCCTTGCCTTATGCCTCAGGCCCCACCCCCACCTCCATGCCCCTGACCCCTACTCTGCACTCCAGTCCTGGACCTCAGACCCCCATCCTGTGCCCCAGTCACCTGCCTTGAACCCCCTGTCCTAGCCCAAATTCTTGGTCCTTGCCCCAAACCCCAGACCTCTACCTGGCCCCCCTCACCTTGGCTGCTTGGAGGGCCGTGGTGCAGCTTGTGTAACCCAGTGTCCAACGTGCTGAGGGTGCAGAGGTGAGTCTGTCTTAACAGAGTCTGAAGGTGAGGAAGGCTGTTAAGTAATGACCCTGGTGCCCAAGCTGGCTCAGGGACCAGCCACAAGTACTCACTGGGTCTGCTGGTGTCTCTATGCCTTCCAGCCCTGCCCATGGCCTTGAGGCCTGCTTCCTGGGGGTGAGAGGATCATCAATCCAGGGTTTCACTGTGACCCTACCCTGCCAGGGAGGCCAGCCTCAGGTTGGCACCTTCCCTCCATCTTCTCCCCTGGGCACAGATGGAGGTACCTGCGGCAAGCCACACACAGTACCCACAGCCCGAGGAGCAATGTGAAACTGGCGAGAACCCAGAGCACAGGAGGGGCCGAGGCCAGTGGTGGTCCCATTTCCTCAATGGCCTAGGGTGGAGGAGAAAGATGCGACTGCGTAGAGTCTGAACAGGGTGCACCAGGCACTGCCAGCCAGGCCCCTTGTACTGACTCAGCACCTGGAATTGCAGACCAAGAACCTCCCTGGGGAGGGCTCGGCACTGCTCCCCCTCCCATGCCCGTCCGAATCTTAGTGGTGACTCAGTGACAGCTGAAGATGGGCTAGTGAGGAGGAGTGGGCACCTGTGGTCACTACAAAAGAACCTGAGGCCGGAAAAAGTCCCAGGAAGACTCACTCTGGGCTGCAGGAGCAGTTTTAGCCCACCAGGCCTGGGGACACCCCACCTAACCCGCAGGAGAACCTAAGGGGAACTGCTCTGGGCCTCAGCACCTGGCCCCTTGTCTAGCTTTCGCCCTGCCCCCAGGTGTTCCCTTGCTGAGGTCCTGAAAGGGCTGTGGGGTGGGGTGGGGCAGGGCAGCCTGCTCTTGGACCAGTGGGGAGGGGTAAGGGTAAACAGACCAGTTTTCAGCCTCTTCTCAATTTTCCGCATTGGTGAGACTCCCAGCTGGAGGTCTAGGCCCCTGGAGGAACACTGAGGGAGGGCACTCACCCAGCCAGGCCCAGCAGCGCCTTCTCAGCCTCTGGGCAGCAGCCTTCTCAGCCTCTGGGCAGCCGCAGCCTGTGTGCACCGCAGTCGTGCCCCTCCTCACTTCCTGCTGAGCGCCTCCACCTCACTCCCAGCCCCCACTGCAGCCCGCCACCTGCTAAGCCGCCTCCCCCTCCCAGGTCTTGGGTGGTGCATACCCCACTACTCGCACAGGTTTCTGCTGTGCAGATACTGCTGCTCCCCTGGAGTGAGGAAGCCATGGCACGCATGTGGGGCTGGGCCAACCCAACAAGAAGCCTGGAGGGCCCCTTGAGGCCCCTCCCCTATGCCATCCATCTAACCACAATGGACATCCCCGTTCAGAGTAGAGAGGTGCCAGCCTGAGCCCCTTCAGACTCCAGCATCTCATGAGAAGTCCCCTCCCGCCAAGACCCTGCAGCCGCCAAGTGTCCACTTAGACATGTCAGGAAATCATTTAATGTCCTGGCTCAAGTAACCTCAAACACAGACAAGTGTGTCCAGAGGGGACTCTGCCCTCTCTTCAGTGGGTATGTCCATGGCTGGGCCTTGGCCCAGAAGTGGTCAGCCCCTCAGCAGGGCAGCAGACAGCTCTGGGCTGGCGTCCTGGGGTTTCCTGGTCCGTCCTGGAGGCAGTGATGGCTCTAGAATTCAGTCATCCTCTTGTGGGTGTCTGCCTTCCTCTGCTCCCTCCGCAGTCCTGCCTCCTGGGCCCGGAGCTGTCCCAGTTGCTGCTGGGCACCTGCCAGCTTCTCTCGCAGCTGGGCCACACCATGCCTGCAGAGGGCCTGTGGTCAGCCTGGGTTGCCCATGCCTTCCCAACCTAGGTGATGGGCCCACGGCTCTGAGGCATCTAAACCCTCCCGCGATCAGGTCCCTCGGAGGCTCGCGCTGCTGACCCCTATGGCCCCCACTCCCCAGGGCATACCGGCCAGCGTTGCGTGTGAGGGCTTCCTGGATTCCCTGGATGTCACGCTGGGTCCGGCTAATCTGCTCTTCAGTCTGAAGGAGCTGCAGGCTCAGTGCGCGCTTGGTGCTCTTGCTGGCGTGGTAGGCCTGCTTGCCGCCCTTCACCACCAGGGGCACTGACCCCACCTCCAGGGCCTTGGGAGCCTGGCTCTGGAGCTTTTCATTCAGGAAGTCAAACACATTGCGAGGGGGTGGGCGGCCTGCAGGCACCGTCCCTTTCCCGTGGCACTTGGGGGGCCTGTGGGTGCTGACTTTGTCACCTTTCACCGTCCTCTGGAGAGCCTCCACGCAGTGGTCCAGGGACTTCCCTCGGGGCAGCACCACAGCGTGGATGGGCTCCACTCGGCCCTGAGCATTCCTTCCCAGACCTGGGGAGACACAGGCACTGGCTGTGCTGCTGCCTCCCCCATCCCTCCACCCCTAAACAGGGCACTGACCTTTCCCACTCCCAACAAAGACAGGACACTTACCCTTCTCAGCCCCCACTCTCCTCCAGCCACGGCACTTACCCTTCCCAGGCTCATAGCCCATTTTTTCGAGGAGCCTGGAGCCAATGCCACGTGTGTGCACCTCCCAGCTTGCAAAGGCTGTGCTGCCCATCCCATCTGTCCTGTCGGCCACAGCCTCTGAGTCCACAACTACAGGGAAGAGAGCAGACCCAGTGTGCAGGATGCAACTCCACTCTCACCCAACCATTCCTCAGCTGACCTTCAGCCATTCCTTAGCTGACTGTCAGTCTGTACTGTCCATGGCCAACCTGGAGGCTGTCCTTCCCTCCCTGACTCCACCTCATAGGAAAACTCAACTCCATCACCATGGACATAAGTCTCTGGGCAGCTCAGCAGAGTCCCTGGGCCTGCTGCCCGTCATTATCCTGCTTGGCTGGCACTGGCCAAATCCAGATGGTGCATGGGGGGAGGGTAGTGCTCTCAGTGTGCCCCACCTCCACAAGATCCCCTGCACACATCCATGCTCAGTGGCCATTTCCTGGGCATCAAGTTCCTGGTCAGTTCTTGCAGCAGCCAGACATGGTCCCATGGCTGTGGGCTTGGCTGGGTCCTTTGTGCCCAGCTATCAGCTGCTGACTGCTTTTAGAGAACTCCTGTGGGGTTTAACACCTGCTCACCTTCCACATGTTTCTGTCCTTGTCTCCCAGCCAGAACTATGTCTCTCTCTTCTGCACACACATATGATTGTCAACAAGTTCTGTCCCCATGCCTGACTGCCCACCCCACCTCTGGCCCCACACAGCCTCTGTTCGTGTCACACACAGGATCTGACCCTGCCCTACCTTCTGCTCCATCCCCTTGTCACCATCCCCCATAGTATCTGGTCCCACACAGCCTTCAGCCCCACCCCACCCTGGGATCTACCCCACCTTGGGCCTAGCCCAGCCTCCGGCTCTACTGGGTCTCCTCACCTCTCGCATAGCTAGAGTCTTCTGCGTCACTGTCCTCTGATTCAGAAGACTCCACAGGCTCCAAGCGCAGTGGGGGCAGCACACTGTCTCCCTCCACCACAACCTCCTTAAGCAGCAATGAGTCAAACTTGACAGTGTAGAAACCGCTGTCCACATCTGGGATGAAGCAGGAGAGGCTGCAGGTCAGTGTCCCCAACATGTGGGGACTGAGTGGACACCACAGGGATTTGAGACCCTACTCTTGGGAGAGGGGGTCTCACTCACCTAGGACCTTGGAACAAGTCCCAAAGCTCAACCTCAGGGAAGTAGGAGAGCCTGCATGGCAGTACATGGGAAACTGTCCAGAAAGGCCTTAAACACCCTGGGCCAGGGAAAACTGCCAAGGGTGGGGGCAGTGCCAGCTACACTCTCACCCCACGTAAGCCCACAAAAGAAGTATGACACTGAGGCCACCTTACCAGTGATCCGAGCTGGGTGCCACAGGCCATCCTGGTGTTTAGCCAGACATGCAGAGCCAGCCTGCAGGGAACTCAGGTCTGGTTCCTGGAAGGGGCGGAGCTCATCCAGAGAGACCACCTGCCCATGGGAAAACCTGCAGACAGTGGTCAAGAGGCTTAGACAGGAATGCTGGTTCCATCACCAGTTTTGTTCTGAGAGGGACAGGCACAGACACAGAAGTACAGACACACACATATACTCAAACACAACATGCATATGTTACACAGGCATGTGTATGCAGAAATGTGAATAAATATGTATGCGCACACACATGCATAAAGACACAGGTGTGCAGGAAAGAAACATACAATCACGAGTTAGCATACATGGCAAGCACACACTTGTGCATGCACATATATGCACACATCTAAATATATGTAGATGTGCAAATGTGCACATGCTTGTACAACTGTGCAGTCATTCGTATATATACATACACACTTGCATGCATGCAAGGGCACATGTACACATATATTCACTCACTTATAAGCAAATGCAGACATACTGACACACATGTACATATACATATATTCTTCCATATAAATATGTGCCTCTGTACACATATACTCATCCACATATACAGATACCATACATCGTATACACACTCAAGACAGATATACATACATGTGTAGGTGCACAAGCTCATGTATGCACACACACTTCAAAAGACACATGTAAGCATGGGCATGTCATTCTAACACTCTGTCATGATGGTTGGTAGCTTTGGCCACATAGAGAAGATGCCTTACGCTGCCTCCCAGATTTCTGGGCTGGAGGAACAACCTGACTTTGTGATTATAGTTACCCACTGTCTCTTACTCAAGCCCAAGGGCCAGTTACTAACAACTAGCACAAGACTCTGTGTGTGTGTAAGCATGTCACATGTATGTGCATATGTCACAAGTGTCCATGGCAAACAGAACTATGACTGCCCCTTCCTCAAATCAATGACAAGACCTTAGTTCCAATACTAGAGCCTTCAAGTTATTAGAGAACCAGTAACTCCAAACTAGAACCTAGAGAGATTGAGGTGCTCCAGCACAGGTGGAGCCAGGACCAGCAGGAAGACCAACCAATCAGAGCGCTCACGATGTGAGTGAGATGTGATGGCCAATCAGGTGGAATTAGGGTGGGATGCTCCACTGTCCTGATCAGATGTAAGAGGAGTTATCCCTGGGGTGCCATGAATCACTTTCTGTGTTACAAGAGATAAAAAGAAACAGAAGTGAACAAGGATAGAGGGAGCCTCACTGCCACCAAGGATGAGTCAGGAGTGGAGTGTATCCTCAGACGCAGAATGCCCATGCAGTGAGCACTTAGATCCAGAAAAGATTGATGACAAGACTCGTGAAGATCTCCAAGAAATGCCAGGCCTACAAATGCTTAAGAGGGACAATGACCTTCCTCCAGAACCTGTTGTTGATTGCCTTTGAATCGCGCACAACTCATAGCAACCCTATGAACAAAAGGCCTGAAGCCTTTCTGTAACTATTGACATTTATCAAAGTTCATTGAGTTTCCAGAGGCATGTTGTCTAGGAAGTGGATGCCACTCCTGCTTCCAAACCTGTTTTAAACTGGGAGCTCCACAGAATACTGTCCACCATGGGTAACTGTTACGGCATTTGACCCCCCTCAATGGTACAAAGTTCATCACAGCAACCCCAGGGTACTTCAGTATAGTATGTTGTCAGAAGATTGCTGTACACTAAGAAGAATGTTCCTCCAAAATATAATAACCAACTTTAAAAACAAAGGCCCTCCCTGAGGGCTTGTTGACTCTAAACATGAGGCTTGAATGAAAATATAACCAATACAGAAGGTTATTGCTGTTAGGTGCCACTGAGTCACCTGTGATATACAGTGACCTTGTGTACAGCATCTCTGAACCCATTTCTGTCCTGAGCCAGTCTCACTAATTCCAACACACCAACCTCCATTGCCCCAGATATTCTATCAATCCATCTCATCCATGGTCTTCCACTCCTGCATTGTTGGTCCACCTTTCTGAGCATGATGTCATTCTCCAAAGACCAGTCTCTCATAGTCACATGCCCAAAGTATGTAAGACAGAGCCTCAAAATCCTAGCCTCCAAGGAGAGACTTGGTTTCACCCTCTCCAAGACAGACCAGTTAGTTTTCTTGGCAGTTCAAGTTCAAGACTCTTCTCCAGCACAACTTGAAGGCATCTATTCGCCTGTCATCCCTAGTCATTGTCCAGCTCTCTGAAGCATAACAAGTAGTTGAGAAGACCATGGCCTGGATTAGGTATACCTTTGTATCTAGACTGACATTGTTGCTCTTCAGCACTCTGGAGAGGTCCATGATGATATTTTCCCAAAGCAATTCATCTTTTGATTTCTTGACTGCTGGTATTAAGAGTGTTGACTGTGGATCCAAGCAAGCTGTAATTGCTAGCAATCTCAATCTCTTCTCCATCTATCATGGTGCTGCCAATTGGCCCAGTGGTGAGAACCTCTGTCTTCTTGACGTTGAGCTTCAATCCCTATCGAAGACTATAGTCCTTGACCTTTTGCAGCAAGCACTTCAGGTCTTCTTTAGTTTCAGCAATCAAGGTTGTGTTATCTGCATATTATAGGCTGTTAATGAGTCTTCTTGCAGTCTTGATGCTGCACTCCTCTTCATAAAGCCCTGCTTCCCGAAAGATCTGTTCTGCATACAGATTGCAAAGGTATAGAGAAAATGCCTTTCCCTAGAGCGAGTATTCTGAATTTAAATAGCCAACCTGCTACACTGTTTAAGGACAAAGGTCTGTTTGTAAAGACATCCCCTGTGGTGTTTCTGCTGAAACAGTGCTAAGTAGCTAAGATAGTATATTGTCTTTGGGCATGTTTCCAGGAAGGACTGATCTGTGGAGAAGGACATTATGCTTAGAGAGGTGGAGGGACAGTGGAGAGGAAGATTCCGGATGAGATGGATTGACACAGTAACTGGGGCAATAGGAGTAGGTGTGTTGGAGTCAGTGAGACTGGCTGAGGACAGGGTAGGCAGGCTTCAGAGCTGTAATACACAGGGTCACTATGTGTCGCAGGCGACTTGACGGGACGGCACATAACAACAAGAAGAAGGATCTAAATGATGTAGTATTAGCAAAGGAATATGCAAAGAGATCAAAGACACCAGAGAGTCTAGAAACTGATCTATTTAAATAGTCAACAAATGTTTGGTGACTGAACAAAGGCAATTCAATGGGACAAGGACAATCTTTTCATCAAGTGGCGCTGGACAGCTGGTGGGGGTGTGACCTAGTCAGTAATCTTATACTCTCTACAAATAACAACTCAAAATGGTTCCCAGATTTAAATAGAAGATGTAAAACTAATAAACAGAGAAAATCTATGCCGTTTTTTGGTTCGGTGTTAAATTTTTAGCTAAAACACAAAAGCACAACCTATGTTAAAAAATCATTAAGTTAAATTCATTGAAATTAAAAATGTGTGCTTGAAGGGAGCTCTGGTGGCCTACTGGCAATAAGCTGCACTGCAATCCGGAAGGCATGTGGTTCGAAACCACCAGATGCTCTGCTGGCGAAAGGAGGGACAACCTCTTCCTGTGCCAGCTGGATCCAATTCAATGGCACACAACAAATAGAAATAAATAAATAAAATCTACGTTTCAGACAGATTAAAAAAAACCCAAAAAAACCCAAAAAACTGCACTTAAAAAAAGACACTGTTAAAAAAAAAAAAGGATACTGTTAGGGAGCTCTGGTGGCCCAGTGGCAAAGAAACTGCACTGTAATTCCAAAGGCACGTGGTTCAAATCTACCAGATGCTCCATTGGAAAAGGAGGGGCAATCTCCTCCTGTGCCAGTTGGATCCGATTTGAGGGTACACAACAAGGGAGAAAATATTTTAAAAGATACTGTTATTAGAGTGAAAAAAAAGCCACTGACAGGAAGAAAACACTGGCAAAACATATCTGATGAGGCTTATACAAAAAGGACTTAAAATGCACTTTGGCCCAAAATATACAAAGATCTCTTAAACTAAAAAATAAGCAAAAGATCTCAACAAATATCCCATCAAAGAAGTTATGGAAATGCAAAGTGGGCCACAAAAGATGCTCAACATCCTCTGTCACAGCTGCTGCTGTCACTATTTGTGTACTATTGGGTTGGAATCAACTTAAAGAGGATCCTCCTGTGGTTTTTCAGAGGTTGTAAATTATACAGGAGGAGACTGTCTATATTTCTGTATTTGGTGGATTTGAACTGCATGCCTTTGGGCTGGCAGCTCAACTTCCTAGTTACTAGGCTATCAGAGTTCCTCCATCTGTCATTGTTGTTGTTGACTGCCTTCAAATTGAGTATGACTCATAGTGACCCTCTAAACAAAAGGCCTGAAGGCCCTCTAAAACGATCAACATTTATCAAAGTTCAGAGTTTCCAGAGGCAAGTTTTTTAGGAAATGGATGCCATTTGGCTTCCACTTGTCATTAGAGAATTGTAAATGAAAATAATGAGACACCACTGTACACTTGTTGTTGTTGTTATATGCCCTTAAATCACAATTCATAGCAAATCCATGCACAACAGATTTGAACCCTGTCCTATCCTGTGCCAGCTTCATCTTCTCTGACATACCTAAACCCACTGCTGCAGTCACTGTGCCAGTCCATCCAGTTGAAAATCTTCCTCCCTCTCCAAGGAATAGCTCTTCTAGCAACATGCCCAAAGTATATGAGACAAAGTTATAGCATCCTTGCTTCTAAAAAGCACTCTGGATGTAGCTTCTCCCAGACAGATTTGTTTGTTCTTTTGGCAGTCCATGGGTATTCAGCAGTCTTCTCCAACATCACTAACTCAAAAGCATCAGTTTTTCTTCTGTCATCCTTATTCTTGGTCCAGCTCTCAGATGCACATCAAGTAGCTGAAAAGACCTGGCTTGAATCAGGCACACCTTTATCTTCAAACTGATATCACTGCTCTTCGATACTTTGGACAGGCCTCTGACAACAGACTTTCCCAACACAATACACCTTTTGATTTCTTAACTGCTAGTACCAAGGGATTGCGGATATAAGTAAGATGAAGTCATGGCCAATTTCAGTCTTTTTCCCATATAGCTTATTG